GCTGCCATACCGCCGAAGGGCCAAACCGCAAGCCAAAGATGCTCGCCGGAGGCCTTCGGAACGCTCGGAACCGGTCGAATTCTCGACTGAAGCGCCGCCGCAAAAATCCGGGACCTTTCTACGCTCGCCGCTCGTCGGTGCGTGATCCCGCTACCCCTTTCTAGTATGCGCCGCCTTTTTTTACCGCTTGGTGGCAGGTATGTTGACGGGTCATTTCTTGTTTCCGAACTTTAGGAACTGCATTTGTTTCTTTTCTGATCTAAAATACCGAACAAAAACTACTTTTATAAATAATTGAAACGGTTCGCGCCACTTATATTTTGTATTTGGACTAAAAAGAAGCTTCTAGCGGCTGTGACCAGTCGTAAGCCCACGCCCAAAGACGTCACATTTCATGCGCCTTCGGCACCGCAGGTTACCCCCGTAGTTGGAGGCGGTTTCCGCATCGTCTGGTTAAAATATGACACAGTGATATTTAGTTACTTTCTCCGTGCCCGGTGGCTTGTCCGAACCCCAAGAGACGTGGAAACCGCAAAAAAGGTAGACGATTAAATATGATTGCAGGGCCCCTTTAAAATTAACCCCCTGTTTTCATAAACTAATATATTTAAAGAAAGCACAACTTCTACTTGCCATTTCAGACTGGAACCGCCTCCCACTGAAATCGCCTCCACCAGTGATCACTTGTCCTTTGTTTAAGCTGTAAACATGCTGCAGCTTGATCAGGTCGTAAATTTCCCTGTCAGTTGAACTGATTGTGAGTTTGTTTGTTTTCCCACCTTTTGTTGTTTTTTCTGCGCTATCAATGCCAGAACTGCACGGAAATTGTGTATTGTATCTTTCAGTATTTTCCTCCTCCCTTTATGTGTTTCTCGCTTTTGTGGAATGATTCATTGTAACGTGTTTCTCTTTGCTGTTCGTTCACCTTATTTTGTGCGTTTATTTGGTTCTGCTGTATACCTCATTGTACTAACCCCCCCTTCCCCCAACTCTACGTAATGCCAAATAAGAATACCATATTTTCCTGTCTACAAGCCAGAACCCCCATATGCGAACGTTAGAAAAGTCAGTATATAAGCACTGTCGAAAATTGGGCAACTTGGTTATGCACAGTTACGAAGAGGGAAACAGCGCCAAAAGTATGGAGGACAAAGAATGTGTGTTTTCCTCGTTCTTTGTCCTCGGTACTTTTGGCGCAGTTTCTATCTTCGTAATTTGGTATACAAGTCGCACCTTTGCATAAGTTGCGCTCCGCGGCTACGGCACAGAGTTGCCATAGCCGCGGACCTTTCGCGCCACATTTCGGGCCGCCTTTGAACCATCGGAAGAGCAATGCATCGGTGAGTGCTCTGCCGTTCTTCCTTTGTCATAAATGCTGATACAGCCTACATCATACACAGTTAGGACGCATACTTAAAAAAAAAGAAGCATACTATATGTCACACCATTGAAAAAGACGTGCCAATGAATATCTGAGAGAAAATCTGCATCTCACAGACCTTTGCTTATCAGCCGAGCAAAAAATGCTGACTCACTGAGCTGTGGGCCCATGTGCAGCATCCGATGTAGTGCACAGCAGAGCAACAGTACATGCTCAGGAGGCATTCAACAGTCCAGCATACAAAGGTGGCAGCGCGCAGAAGGCAATTTCGGCAAAGGTCTATACACCGGAAATTTTGGTACATAGATAGGTACGAGACACTGTGTCTCATGAAGAGTGTGTTGGATTAATTTTAGAGGTGCGCAAATATTTCAAAAATAAAATATATTGCAAATAGTGTTTGCTATTCTATTTAATTTCCAGCACACTGTACTGTTCGAAGTGTTCAAAGATTATGAATGGTGTCAAGTTCCACCGCTTCGCACTCCTGCATGCACGTCAAGCTTCAGTTTTGGATTGGTGCACTGAAAGAAATGGCTGACGTCCCAAAGCTCTTGGCTGGCTCAATAGGCTCGGAAACTTGTTCACAACTGTGGGACAGCCTCGTTTCATTATAATTATGGCTGGACTTTCTAATATTAAAGGCCAGTGGCAGGAGAGAAAAATTCAAAGTATATTCAAATAAACATGATAGTAATTACTTTGCCTGACATGTTACATTCGGTTTTACCTAACTCGTCTTAAAGAACATATAGGAAGGGAAAAGCTTGTTTTTTAAACAGCCTGGATGGAAAAAGGATGTCATAAAATAAATTTACAACGAAAAAACAAATTTTTAGAGCTGTAGTTACGGCACGAAACGGATTTGTAGTTGGCACTTGCGGGAGCCCGCACAAAAGTGGAAGCTGGCTGTCACGTGACTGGCCACTAGTCACGTAATGCTTGCGCTCTTTTGGGAGCTTCCTATAGGCTCTAAAAGTTATTTACTAATCTTCGTTTTTTGATAACTATATTTTGATGCTTGAGAAACAAGTGTAAGGAAATTGGCACTTCAATTTTGACTCGTACGATAACAAACAATAGCTTCACCATTTTCTGTTTGAAGGGGTGCGGTGTTACATGTTCTAGTTTCTAACATGTCGGTTCCCCCAAAGCGACGCCGCTGCTCGGCGATCACAAGCACTGCAGCACTTTGTCGAGCAGCGGTGTCCCTTTGGAGGGACTGACATGTTAGAAACTAATACATGTGACACCACGACCCTTTGAACAAATGGCGAAGATTTGTTTGTTGCCGTACGAGTCAAAACAGAGGTGACAATTTCTTATACTTGTTTGTCAAACATCAAGATAATAACATCAAAACAATAAAGACACCATAATGGTGTCTATATTAACGAGACGTGACTAGCTGGGTGGCTTCAATACCACAATCAATTACAAACCCTCAAGCAAACGGCTTGTACCCCCAACCCAACACCATAATACTTCCGATTTATCCCACGCCAATTAACATTTTCGTGAAAAACAGTGCAAACATTCCAGAGTTTTTTGTTTTTTTTTCTTTTCAGTCAGTTTAGCTTAAATGTTAGCCAGATTGACTGGCACTTCAATTAAAATGAAGCCTGTAGAGTAATCCAGGGTGTAGAGAGTTCAGCATTGACATTGGTCAGGGGCAAACGTTTCAGTTATAGGGTCAAGTCACACATCATGACATGGGCAAATTACAAAATCAAAAGAGTGTGATGAAGCACCAATCTGAACTCAAACACATACAATTTTGTGACTGATTTCAGCCGCGTCATGAACAATCGACGGCGTGAAAGTGTCCCTTGGCTCCACGGTTCCCAACCCTAAAATTGCTTTTGTTCAATGTTAGCAGAAGTGTGACATACATCTTTTTTAGATTAAAACAATTTCCTCACTGCTGACACGAGGTGACAAGCAGTTTTCTTCGATTGCTGCGTCTGAAGGGGCACAAGCTCAAGCGCTGACGTAGAGCAAGTGCAAAGTGTGGGATCAGGCCCGGACTTTAGATATACCTAGTGCCTGCCGGCACCAGCCCAATGGACCTGCTCCAAAACGTGCAGCACCATCCAGGGTGGCGAAAAAAATCCCGGGAACTGCAGGTGCAGAACAGCTTGTCGCAGACGACGGTGGGGACGGACAAAACGCAGGCGAGTAGGCGAGGGCATGCGGAAAACTGTTACCCTCTTTCTCGCTCACCTTCTTCAGCGTCACGAGACAGATGCTGCGGACACGAGGGCGGGATTTTTCATGTGGACCGTCAGGACGTTTGAAACGGAACTATTAGAAAAATCTGATAAAACCAGTTCCTTTCTCATTTCCTCATATGTCGTTCAAAGCAGCAAATTACTTGGTCTACTACTGGCGCCACGTCGCTTGGGACGCGTCCTTTGACTGGCGTATTTATTGCGTCCTAAAAAGTGGTCCTTCAGTTTCTGCCCGGTGACGTCACACAAGTGTAGTGCTATCGCCGGTCGCAATCCTGGTGGCGTCGCAAAAACAATGCTGGATGTGGCTGATGTCTAATCTGCTGCAGGCTTTTCTCCAGCCCAAAACTCCACGGAAGCTTTGGCAGCCAGGAGTCGGGACTCTGTGACGACAGCGACGTCCGCTCATACTTTTTGCCGGGACTAAACTGCCAGGATCGCGACATCTGACAGCACAACACACCGACTTCTGCAACATCTTTTGGTTGCCACTAGGGACCACTTTTGATGTATGGGTGGGACGGGACAGAGAACAAACCGGTCTAAGACGCATTCCAGGCACTGTTCTAACGCCAGCCCTTTCCTTCGACAACAGCCATTGCCAAAGGTTTCACACTAGATGAATAGCCAAAAGACGTTTCGCGAAAATACCAAAAGGCTGTGAGCGACGTGTGGAACTTAATTGCGGGAATGTCCTGCATGCTTCTCCTTGCCTCTGCAGCACCTACCACGATAGAGACAGCAATGCAGTTGCTTGCCTGCCCTCACGAGCATTTCCTCCCTCGCCTCCAAAGTTACTTCTGCCATCTGCAACGGCCAGTTTCCAGCAACCCTTCGGTGCAGCAGACGGCACTGCATGCTCCGCAAAAGGTCTATTCTGCTTCTGTGGCTCCGTGAAAAGGCAAATAAGGGTGTCTATGTCTGTAGCAGTTCGACCCACGTACTGGTGGGCACGTCGTCTCCAGTGAGATCTTCCGGGGCACCTACGCCTTGGTCAGAAAGCGGTTCCTGTGATCACATTAACTCCTACAAGATTCCCAGAATCTTATGGCCCTTTATCAAAGTGAAATACACCTGCGAAAGTAAAGAAAGCTTGCCACTAGTAATTGAATCGGCCCAGCTTACCTCCTCAAAAACAATTAAGTTCACTACTGGGCACACATTCACAGCATCACGTGAAGGCAGTGGATTAAAATTGCGGGAAAGATATGGCTCTTGTTATAATGTCTACAGCCGAGACGTTTCCACGTTGAAGCGCGAAGACTAAATAAATAAATAAACGATCACGAAAGTCCAAGAACGCATGTGCACCCTTACCTACCTTCGGTTCGCGGTACAGCTAGTAAGTGGTGTTTAGACGTAATTTACGCGATTGAACCGGCGCTCACCGTGGGTGACTGGAGCTTGGATTTGAGAGAGCGAAGTTCGGAGTCCTTCATTTTGACGCTCTGTTCCCAGTTTCTCAAGTTTCGGACGTAGTCCCGGTACTCTTGGGAAGCGCCTTCCTCGGTCACTCCGTCGTCGTGTCGAGAAACAGCGACTTTCTGAGGCATGCCACTGCGCGTGAGCTTCCTTGGGAGTGTCGGCTGCTCCTTGGGCGAAGCATGCAGAGCATCAACGACTAACTGTAGCAGCCGAGAGATGCGGGCTCAAAAATTATACCCAGGCTCCCCAATAATTACGGGGCAGGAGCGCAGCACTGGTTGATTATAACTTCCCAGAAACGACACTAAACTGCTTTGTCAAACGAGGTGCTGAAAGCCTGGAGGAAATGCGGCGGCTGCAGCTGCTGCAGCAAAGAAGCAGCCCACAGCTAGTACACCATACCACAGCCGACCATTCACAATGTTCGTGACCCTCTTGTGCGCCTTGTTCCAAATGCGGACGGTTTCGGCTATCGTTAGGCAACCAAAGAAACATTTAAATTCATGTAGTCGCGGTTATTTACATGTTTAACTTTTTGTTAAAAAAAATAAAAGATATATTTTTATCAGATATTTTAGTTCACGCAAAAAGAGTTGCCAGTTACCAATGCCAGGTCCAACGAGGTATGCCAGGTCATATAAGTTTAGTTTCGGTTCCAAGCACTATCGTCGTAAAAATGGCGGCCTCGTTAGCTCTCCGTGTGGCTCTATCGCCGAAAAAACCGCTGAGTGGCGCGTGCCGGTGTATGTATCTATTTCCCAACTTTAAATCACACGGAGGAGCTTCCGATAAGAAGCAGCGTGGCTAATAGTGCTGTTTCTTTCGCCCCCGTAGGTCGCCAGTGGCCGCTACTCCTCCAAGCATGTGGACTCAAACTCTGGAAGGCCCCTCCGGACTACGGAGGTGAGTACATTCTCGCTGAAAAAAAAAATTCCATTAGAGCACATGGAACCAGGTTTGCTCGTCAGTGAAGACTAGATATTCGTAGACAAAAGAGGATAGAAAATAATATAAAAAACGTTCAAGGAGCGCTTCGAACGACCGTGCATATCGTCGAGTAAACGTGCTGTATTGATGTCACCGGCGGAGCGGGTGAGGTTTGGGGAGCTCTCTCACATGACGGACTAATCGGCGGACGGATTGATCACGTGACGACAAGTCCGCGATTTGTCCGTCTCCCAAGCGTATCCCCACATGAGGGAGACTACGAGCAGACGCCAGCGAGGGCGGACCGAACCTGTTCGCCACCACCACAGTGCCGCGAAACTCCAACATCGCACCGTGGCACCGTTGTCCAAGAGAGAAATCGGCGTTTGCTACCGCGATAAAGAATCGTACGCCGCTGTTGCGTACAGATCGAGACCGAACACCTTGGAAAAAAATAGCCTAAAAGAAAGCAGGAGAGATGAGACGAGACGGCTGACTATTAACGAGTTTTAGTGAAACCTTCTTCCTCATGCGGTAACGTCCTCCAACAAAAGCACTTAAAAAGAAAAATCTACAAAGAAATTTTATTAGAAAGTAAAGAGGAAAACACTTTGTTTACACTTCCCCATTCCATGTACCAACACGCTCAACTCATCACCGTTACCGAACGTTGTGACAGACGTTGCACGAAGTGCCACTAGCTTTACTAACCCAAGGCATGACAGTAACGAAGTAACCGAAAAAAGGACGCCTGGAGACCCCGGAGTGGCTACTAACTTGGAACGTTTAATCTGCTAGCTCTATCCCTTTTTCGCCCCGGCTGTTGTCTCGTAAACTCGTGCGAGCTTCCACGCGCCAGGCGGTGTTGCAGTGACGTAGCATCCCTTTGTGCCAGTCATATGGGCTGGCACGAGTGCACGCATCGGTTACGATGACGTAACAAGTGACAGGCATGGTCCTGCTCAAGAAAGTTTCGGCATAGAAGCAACGAAGTTCCAGGCTTGCAGTAGGGCGTTTGGAGATGCCTTCTCGCACTCCGCGCTCGTGCATTACACTTACACAGGCAGGAGAAAGGTTTTGCTCGGTAAAAAGCTGATTGGGCTTGGCAAAATGTTATTGCAGCGTGTTAGACAAGTTTTGATTGAAGCTCCTTGACACGGACCTTAGGAGTACCGGAACCTGCTTTGCGTCAGCCGGGCAAAGTTTCTGCAGTTTCTTTAGCGCGTGAAACCAAGAATCACACAACAAAATGAACCAGCAAACGCACAAAACACATGTGCCATTTTTGTTATAATGTGCGAAAACTGAAAAAAAAAAAAAAAAACAAGACTTCATTGTACCGTTGCCTGACTAAACGCTTTTCAAGTCAATCTCCCACCAAAGTTTCGCAAGTGAAAAGGCACTCGACTTTATCAGTCCGCGGACGAGGCGCGGATCGCAAGAATCGGCGACATGATGATCACATGGTGCACAATCCGCGGACAAAAGTCACTATTCGGTTCGTCATGTGAATCGGCTATCAACGGAGTTAACGGAGTGGCGGTGGGCCGTGGGAACGGCGTTCGACACTGAGTGGGAAACGGTCGCCCAGTTGTTTCTGCCGCCGGCGTACCGTGAACGCGCTTGGCGGTTCCGACGAGGCTTGGTGCAAACTCGGGCCTGAGATTATGCAGAGTGCAAGTTTGTCTGCTCCTTGCATAGGGGCTGCGTTGACATCAGAACACCTAGCTCTGATTGGCTCGGATTGAATGAATAGTAAGTAGACTTCAGTGCTAGCTGCCTTGAGGTCTACCCTCAAGGCAGCTAGCTCGGCGTTCTGACGTCAATGCAACGCCTGCGCAAGAAGCAGGTAAACTTTCGCTCCGCAAGTTGCCTCGAGCGTAGCTTAGGGTGATCGTGCGAAGTGAGGTCTGTTTGGCAGCCTAGCTTGCCGACCATTTTCTGTTTTGAAGCCTAGCTAACCGGAGTAGTCGGCAAGCTAGGCTGCCAAACAGATTGTGCTTCATGCGAACATCCTTCGCAGCACTCGGGGATATTTAACCCTAATTTCAGGCCCAAGCTTGCACCAAGCCTCGTCGGAACTGCCTAGCGCTCGCAGCATGGCGGCAGCCAAAGCACCAGCTTCCCGCTCGGCGTCGATTGCCGCTTCAGTGAGAGCTACCTCCCTGAGCCTGCCCGCGGAGGCGGCTCCACCCTATTGCAGGCCAGCGACATCAATATCCCTGGTGCCACCCAGAAAACGAATACTGCAGAATCACAGTCCCGAGAGCATATCCGGTGGCAAATGTGTGCTACCGGAGCTTGAGTGACAAAGTTAGATCCTGCTGGCCTCATTGGGCTGCAGTGATCTGAAATGAACTTCCCAAACACCTATTCCTTGCCCGTTGCGAGTTACCATTAAGTCCCCTAAGTTTGTGGAAAACAACTTTCTCCCTTCCCTCGACCTGTGCAAAGAAAATAAGAATGAGAACCAAATTTCCTTACTTGCCCCCTTTCGGAAACACTTGTTTTGAGAATTTCTTGGTAGGAAAATTTAGGAAACAAGAGACACCATTACGAAGAGGAGGGGTGGGGCTTTTTGGAGCAAACTTTGGGGCCAAAGATAAGTCACAATAGGTACAAGAGCGATATTTCCGAACCTCCATCTAGGTTCGCATTGCTCAGTGCAGCTAGCAGGATAGCTTCGCTACTTGAAGGAATGTCACGTCCATGGAACTTTGTATCGGAAAACTCTCAAACCGGGAATTTGGAAAATGGTGGATTGTTCCATTTCCCCTCAGAAGCAACTAGCACTGCAAAAGGACGTATCACTTTCAACGAATCTCTTTTTGCTAACATTACTGATGAGGTGAGAATGGCAGGGCATCTCTTTCGAATGCCCAGCCTCCAGAATGAGCTCAAGCTTACGCTGGAAGTGGAACAACCGAGCGTAGATTATAGTGTTTCTAACCGTTTGATTGGAGTCACGTGGTTTATGGGCCGCGTTTGCAATACGAGCTGCGAGGAGGTGACGGAAGCGTTGATCGTCTACAAGTGTTTCCGCCTCTCCTCCCGCTTTCCTCCTCGCTGGGCAATGATACAACGCATGTACACTTGCAATTGATGAATGCAGGAGGCGTCTGCTATTATATTTCAAACGCTCTTCATGGTTTCAGTTGCTCCCTTTTAAATCCAGACTCTCAATGGTGAACGTGCCGAGAGGGTTTGATACGTAACTCGCTGTCCGTTTGCCCACACAGACGTAGAGTTCCCGGAGGAACGCAGGCTGAGAATTCTGGAGAAGACCCCGCAGTACCCGCCAGGCGTCTCCTCTCCCAAGATGGTGAAGGACTTGGCGACGATACGTGGACCGGAGCTGGTGCACAACAAGCTGCTCTACAACCAGTACGGCATCATCGTAAGCAGCAGTTCCTGTTTACCGCAGTGCACAATGCAGACAATGTTATAGGCCCAACCATGTGGCTTCGTCTGGCATCTCGTGTGCCCGAGAGCACGTGCAAATCAAATGCTAAATCAAAACAGATTTGTACCACCGGCTTTGACGGCATTGCGCACCGTGTATGAATCGCAGCATACTAACGCCTGTTTAGACCTTAGTGTAACGTCTGCACTAAGCTCGTTTATTGGCTGCGCACTGCAAACAGACTAATGGCTTTGTGGAAAACTATGGTCCCTTTCATTTGTGAATATGACGTGAAGGGTGCACAAGCTTGTGGTGCTTAAAGAAGGGACCTACAGAAAAACATTCGATCGGGTAACAAGCACTTATTTGTTAAGTTGAATGCAAGCTGGTAGTCTGTAGTGGTCTCATGCTGTCCAGTTTGTACCCTGCACATCTGGTAAATTGCACAGAACAAATATTGAATAACAAGGGAATCAGTAGCTGTAGGTACTGCATGCCATTAGACAGGAGAGAGCTATCTAGCTAAAATATCATTTTTCGTTTACCATTTTGCTAAAGCACCTGAGAAAACCTTGAGACCTAAAACAGTGAGAAAATCTTGAAACAACCGTAACTAGAAGAGACAGGGAAAGAAGTCAGCCAGACGACGTCTCAAACTCAACTGATATATTTATTCAGTAAACCTCTTAAATGCACTCTGAAACCAAGGTTGTCACCAACCAACACAACTACCCACATAAGTAGGTGCCTAAACGGGTATGACTGAAAGTGTCTGCTGCAAAGGAAGGTGGCATCAAGTGAGGAGTGGAAGAAAGTGAGCGGACGCAGGTGCCCACTGGCTGCCGCTGCCTTTTTACTGTGCTGGTGAGGGTTTCCAGACGGTCAATACAATCTTGCAGACGCTGTGTGGTGGGTTCCTTCGTCCTGGCCACATTGACATGATCCGGCTGACCATCAACAAGAAGCTCGAGACACAGACCATGTTTGCAGTCTGGAGGATAGACCCACCCTGGAAGCCCATCACAAAAAAGGTGTGCTTTGAAAGCTGCAGCCTCCATGCATTGCATCAGTTATTGTTTTTAGCAGTTATATTCTGCTGCTTTTTGCTTGGCTGAATTGTACATGGCGTCATTCTTGCTACTGGATGCTGTCAACAAAGTATCTCTAAACCGGGAAGTATGGCTTTATCCTTGAATTTTGGGGGATTTTGAGAAAAGATAAATGTTTGGGAAAATGTTTCTTTTCAGGGGCAAGGAAAAAGAATGGGGAAGGGCAAAGGGTCTATTGACCACTACGTGACCCCCGTAAAGGCAGGACGCATCATTGTCGAAATGGGAGGCCACATCGATTTTGAGGAAGTGAAACCGCTGCTCCAAGAGGTAAGGGCATCAGCCACCACTCGAGAAAGCATTGTGGTGGCCATTAAAGTCATTAGTGAGGCTCAGGGGTGTTGAAGCTCTAAAGCTTTGACTCGGTGTGCTTTATAGCACAATCATTGAACTCGCTCCATGTTGACTCTGCCATAGCTGGTGATGAATGGATGGATAAATGAAGGTACTAATCAATAGTTGTGAAAATTGACTGTCTGTTACCGTGTGTAGGGGATATCTGCTCGTGCCGACTGGTTTCAAAATCTTCTATACCTTTGCAACTTGACATCTGCATAAGAAACTCTGCCTTTAACTATGCATGCACCAAAGTGTCATCGCACTGGAGGTGCTCGGAGCTTCTACCATAAACGTTTAGTATCCCCATAACCAACAGTGGGCAGAGAAAGCCAACTTTAAGATTATGTTGACCAGAATGACTCACAGTTAAACATTTGAAAATATGGCCTACAAATGTTTTGCCACGGTTGCCACTATTGAGGGATGGAGGATAGAGGCTGTGACTATCTCCAGGAGGACTTTCCGAGTTGGAGGTTCGCCATGCGCAGTCCCCTTCAGCTTGGGCAAACTGTAAGCACTATTCATATTCAAGGAAGTCTTCTTTTGATAAAATGTATGTTGTTCAATATGTCCACTTCAAAAATTATCTTTGTTTCTGCACAATACTTTGTTTCAGTTTAAGTGTGGAAGTTAGAAGAGCGAGCTCGCGGCTTTGAGCGTCCCTGCCAAGCATGCGTGCTTGTGCAAAGTGCAAGTAGTGTTCAGGGCCCTGTTTGCTCGCGCTTGTAGCATTGTCTGTGTCTGGACGTAAGGTGAAATGAAGTATAGATAAAGTGAGAATTTGAGCAGAAAATATGAAACTATAATTACGGTCTGAATCACCAGTGTTGCATGTTTGCTGAACATTCCCCATTCTAGTTTTCACTTTATTTTAAATCAAAATAGAGGTTTTAACATGTTCAAGAAAAATACCCAAGTGTGTGAACATGTTTTCTAACTGTGTGCACACGGGCCCACCTTGGAGAATTCCTTTTTCCCTTTGCTCCCTGCATCACTGTGGGAAAGTGGCACTGGCGACACTGCCTCCTCGGTGTTTGCTTTGCTGCAGTGCACCTGCGCTACGGGACAAAGCGCACTGAACTGCAACCATATCAAATTTGAAATTTTAAAATAATTTTAAAATATCGAAAACCTTCAAATCATAGTTGACGTTAGTATAATATATTGATTCCAAGATAGAGCAGAATAATGCAGAGCCTATGCCCATTCTCTAAATGTCTCTAGCACTACTAGATGCCTATTTCAAGTTTGCATTACTATATTTGCATGTATGCTATATAAATCTTTACTATAGCAAGGTTCCACTCTACACTGATATTTGAATATTTGGTAGGTCACAATGTTTTCACATGCCTAATTTGCCTTACTCTCTATGGTAGATAGTCTCCCTAAGACATCATGGTTTCCACCAGTTTTTTTTTATTTTTTATTTAGTATTTTTGCAGAGATACAACTAACAACAAAATAAAAGTCATTTCTCAATGTTTCCTGTGAACTCTGCACCGTTTGATGCACATTACGAACCCTATAGGTTAGCAATCATGTTACACTGGCCAGACTCACCATCCCTACAGCAGGGAGATAGTCCACCCCCTTTGTTGATGGACTTTCTGCTATGTACAGCTGGGCCCGGTGGATCAAAACCACTTTAAATAAACCTCAAAAATCAGTTTTGCACGCTCTGGAACTGGAATTTAGCGCAAGGGTGCAATTAGGTGCCTCATTTCTATTCTTTTGCGGTGTTGTTGAAAAGGACGGGAAAAAAAAAGTAAATGCCTATGTGTGTTTTTTTTTTTTATTTTTAATTTAAAGTGTACTTGCTTTAATTAGATGTCACAAGTAAAATATAAAAATTTTCTATGGCTCAGTATGCAGTTACGACTTTTATGTCCATTTGAAAAACTGTGGACATTTGTGACATTTTATTTAATGGAAACAATAAAGGGACACTATCACCCCCCAAAATTTCTTTGAACTTTTTGCGAGGTGATTCAGTATGCTGTGTGGGAGAAATGTAGAGAAGGAGAAAGTTGCCAAAAGTCGTGTGAACCCGAACGCCCTTTTTTTTTTCTCTGCTTCTCCGGCGTGTGAAGCATACGACAAGGAAGTGCCGAGCTACGTTGTGTGGTTGTTTCGCACTTGTATCCCTTTCGCTCTATATTCTGTGCTTGAAGATTAGTTGGCTGGTGCCACGAACGACAGTTCTGAAGTAGCGGCCCGACGTCCGTCGCAACATGGGTCCGTCGTGTGCCACCATCGTGTTGTCCAGCCCGCAGTATGTCGCCATATTGAGAGTGATGTAGTACATGTACCTCCTGTGATCTGTACAATTTTTTTTTTTGATCAACATGTATGCAGTTTTTTGGAGGCCACAAGAATAAGGGTCATATGCTTTTCTATTTTTAATAAAATCAAATCTAATCAAATAGTCTTTTTTCCCATTCAACAAAAATGGGGGGAGGCTGAAGAAAAAAGCTGATAAATCAGCTTGACATGGTCCTCAGCCACCCTACAGAGGCGGTGGTGGCGGCAATGGAAAAATATACACTAAAGAGTTGGTGAAAATACAAAAGCGTGTTTCAAGGAGCAATGGGTAGAGGTATTAAACAACATATACGAATATATGAATGACTGCCTTAGATGACCCATGACTTTGAACATATTTGGTATGCTTTGCTTTGAATGCCATATGACCATAGAATAGAGTGAGCTTAGCTGAAACCGATTGATTCTCGACCGGCTGTTTTCAAGCTGAAAGAAAACGAATTTCGAGCCGCAAATTGTGTTCTGGCCAGTTGACCTTTACTAGGTCATGTTTAAATAAAAATCTCGGTGGCCATAAATACCCTGTCAGTGTCCCTTTAAAGGCGGTGAAGAAAATAATTTTGACTGCTCCTGTTTTGTCCAATGAAATGCTCCGATGGCCCACAGGAATGCTTTTGTTTTAGTCTAAAAGTAGGATTTTGCAAATATTTGAATTTTGGAATAGTACTGGGTGACCTGAGGAGCGGCCAGGCTCTTTAAATCGACCGCAAAATTCGGCTTCTTAACCTATCACGCTATGATTTTGTGCAGCATTGCCCACAGATGGTACATTTTTTTGTAAAATTTGCAAAGAGAAAACTTACCTGAGGAAAAAGTCAAGAAAGAAAAAGGCTTAGCTCCTATGGAAACGCAGTAAAGCCACCAATCTTTAAACAATATGGCGCCGCTTTGCACGGGAGACAAGATGGCGCAAGCGGTCGCGATGCCAACTGCCGCCATCGAACAAGCATACGGCGCCGAGAGCCGGCGTCTTTAGCAGACGATATGTTCTACTCAAAAGCGGCGCGAGCTTTTCTGATATCAGTTTCCAATGCATTCTTTTATCATCCTTACTAAGAAAACATATTGAATGGACAGATAATCGATTAAAACAAAGTGAAAGCCGTTTACAACTGTAACGCCGAATTAGAGCGCAGCTCTTCAGGAGGAGGAGGGAAGGGTACTGAGGGTCACGTGTTCTGGGGGGTCACGTGACCTGGGGGAGGGGTCACGTGACACACCCCACCCCCCGAGGTACAATGACCTTGGTGGGGTCACGTGACCTCGGGGGAGGGGGGGTCCACGTGGGGGATCACGTGACCTGGGGGTGTCACGTAACCTCGGAGGTCACGTGACCTCGGAGGGGTGGGGTCATGTGACCACCCCCAGAGAAATTTTTTCCGCTAGATTTAGCGGGGAAAATTTTCCACGGAATCTAGCAGGGAAAATTCCCCGCTAGATCTAGTGGAAAAATTTTTCCGCTAGATTTAGCGGGGAAATTTTTTGGCTAGATTTAGCGGCGAAATTTCCGCGCTAAATCTAGCGGAAAAATTTCCCTGCTAAACCTAGCGGTAAAATTTCCCCGCTAAATCTAGTGGAGAAAGTTTTCCGCTAGATTTAGCGAGCAATTTACCCATAATGCATCGCGCGGTTACGCCAACAGCGACGCCCCTCAAGGTGGAAACGGGCGGCTAAGAGCCGCACTCTAAAAATGGTTTGGTGGGTTATTTTGCCTGTTTTTTTCGGGGTACTGATGTCGTCTGCTTTGCAGTTCCTTGTTGTTACTGTGCCTGTTTTTGTTTCTACAACTGTCGCCGCCTGCGGAACGCACGCCGCTTTTGAGTCGAAACGATTGTCTGCTTAAGACGCCGGCTCTCGGCGCCGTACGCTCGTTCGTTGGCGGCAGTTGGCATCGTGACCGCTTGCGCCATCTCTTGTCTCCCGTGCGAAGCGGCACCATATTGTTTGAAGACCGGTGGCTTCGTTGCATTTCCATAGGAGCCTTTTTCTTTCTTTACTTTTTCCTCAGGTAAGTTTGCTCTTTGCAAATTTTACAAAAAAGATGCACCATCTGTGGGCAACGCAGCACAAAATCGTAGCGCGATAGGTTAAGAAATTGAATTTTGCGGTCGTTTTAAAGAGCCTGGCCGCTCCTTGGGTCACCCAGTAGTTTCGAATAATATGCTATTCAATATTCGTTTTGAGATAAACTGCAATATTGAAATTTTTTCGAAGTGTGGATTCCGGCAGGTTAGCCCTCTTGGGCACGCTTCTAAAGGGGTGTCCAAAGAGGATACTACAAAACTCGTCGGGTGACACGACTTCGACAAATCGTGCGGTGCTCCACTTCCGACCGTTTTCCTTTGCCGGGGGGGGGGGGGGGGGGGAAACTCCCCCCCCCCCCCCCCCCTTCCCCATCAAATCTCCCCCTCGCTTCCTCCATGGCGGCCTTGCTCTGCTCATCACGGGGGTCCAGAGAGCCACTCACACGCTCTCTTGACTGTCGGTCAATCGCTCAAGGCCTCTGCCGCTTTGGAAGTCCCGAAAACGGGAAAGAGAATGACATGAAGGTGTCCTTCCTTTTCCCTGCGGAAAGCAAAATGCACGCTTCGACGCAGGATAGTGAGTGGCTCTCCGGACCCACGTAATGAGCAGATCAAGGCCACCATGGAGGAAGCGAGGGGGAGATTTGACGGGGGAAAATTTCCCCCCGGCAAAAAGAACGGCTGGAAGCGGAGCACCGAACGATTTGTCGGAGTCGTGTGGCCTGACGATCTTTGTGGTGTCCTACACCCCTTTACCGAATACGCTTCTGCAGGTGTTGCTTCTCCGCTGTGCACTGGTGTTCGGTAAGAAGTGCGCTCAATGGAGCTAACCCGCCGTGATTAAAGGGGCCCTGCAATCATATTTAAGCGTCTACCTTTGTTGCGGTTTCCACGTCTCCTGGGGTTCGGGCAAGTCAGCGGGCACGGAGAGAGTAACTAAATATCAGTGCGTCATATTTTAACCGAACGACGCGGAAACCTCCTCCACCGACGGGGGCGACCCGCGGTACCGAAGGTGCGCGATATGTGACGTCTTTGGTCCTGGGCTTACTACTGGTCAGAGCCGCTAAAAGCTTCTTTTTAGTCGAAATACAAAATATAAGTGGCGCGAACCGTTTCAATTACTTATAAAAGTTTTTCTTCAGTATTTTAGATCAGAAAATCAACAAATGCCGTCGACATACCCGCCACCAAGCGGTGGAAAAGGCGGCACATACTAGAAAGTGGTAGTGGGTAGTAAAAGTAAAAATCTACTTCTTGCACATGCATACTAAAAAGGCTTAACTGCACGCTCAGCCATAGGAAATTATTGTTTCTATGGCTGAGTGTGTAGTTGTAACTTTTGATTAGGGCAGGTTTCCTTTGATATTTTCAAAAAAGGGTTGCACTACTCAGCCATGTCTTTGCACTGAATTAGTTTCCAAGCTTGTAAAGCTAGTTTTTGATATCTATTTAAGCTGTGTTTGAATGGTTTGGCCCACGCTGCACGCATCCACACTCCCCAATTTTCTTCTTTGTGAACTCTGCTTTAGGTATGCTACAAGCTTCCTGTGGATGCCATCCCCATCAGCCAGGAGGTCCTGGACAACCTGAGGAAGCAGGAGGAGGAGATGGTGCAGAAGAACATCAACCCCTTCAGCATCGAGAGGGTGATTGACTACCAGATGCAGGGCTCCCAGCAGTGGATCAGCAAGTACGACAAGAAGTACTACACCAAGTACATTTGATGGGACAGTGCCATGTATAACATCTGGCCTCATACTGATACGGTAGTTCTTGTCATCTGCCACAAATCGAAGAGCTAGGTTAATAAAATGATGAATTGTTTCTAAGTGTTTTGTGTGTGAATTTTCTTCATTTTATGATGGATGTGGTGTTAAGCTATTAATTAATGGAGATTATTAGACAGCTTAATACGTTTTGGTCTCGAGGGTGGTGTTTTCTATTTTGGGAGGGATCCAAGGAACTTCCACCCCTCTCTATGCTCTTGGAATAGTGCATTTCAAAGGTCTAAAAACTTTGTTAGAAATGGGAGGCACTCACTTGATCGAATGACGTTTTAGCGAACGCCCACGTTTCATCGAACGACACTTTAGCGAAGAGTCGGACACCGCGAAGCGGCGTTTTCGGGTGGGCCAAGTGAGTTCATATTTTTGTAATGAGTTGCCGTAGACTGTCGCCGCGAAGCGGCGTAAAGCGCAGCGCGACGGATGGGTTAACGTGCGCCCCCGTTATTCGCTAAACCGACCATTCGCTCAAATGTCGCCGTTCGCTAAAATGTCATTCGCTCTTGTGATAGGGACCCGTTAGAAATATATTGAGGACAACGAAGAGAAAGGTTCAAGTGTTTGGGGCATAGCCATGCATATGTATACAGTGTAGACCGCATATAACGTATGTCTCGGGAGTCGCGAAAATCCGCACTATAAGCGGTACCGCACTATAACCAAAACATCAATTTTTCAGGCCAAAATACATGCCATGAGACAACTTACCTTTGTAAAAGAATTTATTTTATGTTAGATGAAAAATAAAGCTTAGTTTAAGGAAAGTCTTTATTTCACCAGACTAGTACAGTTCCGTCTCAAGTGTGTTACACATTTTGAAAGAAATGAGCAGCTTTTGCCTGGCGCAGCCTTTTAACGGCGTCGCGGGTTGCGGACGGACGTTGCGAGCGTTCAGGATTGCTAACCCTAATCACTTTTCTCCGGAGATGAAAACGCGTGAAAATTCGCATCCTTCACACGGTACGCGCCAGTAATACCTTGAACTTGAGCGCACGCATGAAATGCTCTAAATAAGAAATCCGGGCGATGTTCGAGGACACAAATGCTTAGAAAGCACCACTGTAGTCGAAGTAAACAAACAAGACGACACGGGCGTTTCTGCCGCCTTGAGAGCGCCGCCACGACATCGCCGCACGAGTAGGTAAATCTTCCCTGCTGGGTTATCATAGCGACACACAACGAAAATTCACAGTCAAGGATAGCGCTTTTACGCGGAACGATGAGATGAACGCTTTCTACGACGACGATCACAACCGACGCCGCGTTTGCGGATAGAAGCAGCCGACCCGCGACCGGCATGTGCGCAACACTTCTCCTCGACCTGCGATTGGTCTGTCGCTGCGGTTGTTTGTTTCCAACGCAGCGGAGGGACGCACGCACGTGAAAGACACGTGCGTGCGTCCCTCCTTCGCTATGGCAACTGAAGCCTTTCGCTTCTTCCCGCTTCTTCGAGCAACTCGGCTCTGGAGCAACTGCCACGCGAGTGCCGCTTGCTGCTCGCGCCGTCAGCGCCGTTATCTAGTGTCGCACAGGGAAGCGCGCTCGCTGCTCCGGTCGGCGGCGCGGCCGGCGGGCTGTGCCAGAAACCGCACTATAACCGGTATTTCCCTTCGCGCGCCTGCATTTTAAGCGGTATGTAATTACATGGAGTTCTATGGGAGGTGAACCGGTGGTTTAAAAAAACCGCGTTATACCCGGTCCTGCACTATAAGCGGTTACGTTGTAAGTGGTCTATACTGTATGAGACTTCTGCTTCCCCTTTTCGTTTGTACAGAATGGAGGAAACCCAAACAAAAAGTGTCTGTTGCAGCCTGATGAGATCCCGATATCCTGACACACCTTGGTGGATGGGGGGATTAGCAATGTGCTAATCTCCCTACCCTTTAAAAAAAAAAGATGCTATTTTACATTTTGGTTAGCACAGGGTCAATCATTCTGGGAAAATGCCACCATAATTATCTTTCAAATCTCGGACCATTGTCAAAAAGGACCTTACCGCTATTCTCGTCAAGGTTCATTCAGGACAACGGGTCATGGTAAATTCAGGTCACAACAAGAGCCACTGTTATGGTTTTCTGTTTGGGCCATACTATTTGTGCTTTGGAGGAAGGAGAGACTGCGTTTTTGTAATAGTGAAAACTATATGGACCATAGAGATAGCATAAAATTGGGAAGAGGGGCAGTTCAAACTTCTCTATTACATCCTTAAAGCCTGACCTACGAAAAGGTGTTTGGCAAGGTAGTAAAATCCTCACCACGCTTCCCTTTTTTCCCTCTCCCAGACCAAGGGAGGGGGGGGGGAGGGGACTTTTTTTGTTGCTGCATCTTGGGCTGGATAAACCGGGATAAGTTCCCGGCTTAACCAGCCCTAACATACAGCAACAAAAGGAGGCCGCCCTTCGTCCAGATACCAGGAAGAGGAGATAAGCGGAAGGGTGGCGAGGAGGGTACAGTAAATTATGTTGTAAGTCGCTCTTTAACCACTACACCTCACGCAGCCGTGGGACAGATTGCTGGAATAGGATGGGATGAATATGGCTTCTCAGCAACTTCCTCCGGGAGTTTATTGATTTTAAGGTATCGATAGCTGCGTTCAGTTTGCTTACACCTCCTGCACCGGTGTAGAGAAGTGCAGAGCAGTGTACTTCCGATCGTATCTCAATGCGCATACCGGAAGTACACTGTCCTGCACTTTTCTGCACTGGTGCAGGAGGTGTAAGTAAATCGAACGCAGGTAGTGTTTATCGAAGCAACACTTGTGTGCAACTTTTGTCATTAGAATTACCAATGGAAATGGCATCAACACCAAATTAAGAAATATTAATTGATACAAGCACATTTGATTTATTTATCTTGCATATGTTTACATGCAGATATAATTTATATATTTTGTTTTAACAGGAAACACTGCGTAATTAAACTAAGAATTTAGGAGAAAATGGAATGAAACAAAAATAAACTGAAAAACACCTTCCGAATTTGACGAAAAATAAATCCGAAAACACGGAACCCTAATTATAACCCACACGCCGCACTGCGATCACACAACGGACTAGTCCATGCACATATTGATCATGTATGTGACGTCATTTCATTGGACGTTGAAGAAAAAGAAGCCAATATTCATGAATGTATTGAAAAGTCGTAGAGGAAAAAGAAGTGCAAATACAGAATGAGTTGCGAGTCAGCGCTGTGTGACTGTTTTTTCTGCTGTGAGGGGGGTCGGTGGCCGAGTGGGCTAGCTACACCAGCTCGGAGCACGTGGAGCGAAAGCTCGCGCTGCAGAAACCAGGAATCCTGGGCTCAATCCCCACCCCTGCCCGTTTCAATCTGGATGAGCATCGTACCGGCTTGCGGTCATGTATCACTACTGCCTGATGCACGTTAAAGACCCCGTGCTAGTGGTTGTACTGCACTGGATAAATTGCTTATCTTCAGTGGGTAACCATGTCGCCATGCTCTGGCAGACTAACCTCCTGCTGTATAAACAACTAACGACTAATTTGACTGCCTTTTTTGTCTGCTGTGATTGTTTTTGTGGCGGTGGTGATGTGTGTTTGTGTGTAACCTCATACTTTCGCTGTTATTTTGAGACATGAATAACCAACTTGCCCAAGCCGCCGTTTGTCGAAACAAAACACCATGATAGGCTTCGTGCAAAGTGCCACTAGCTTAACCAACCCAAGGCATCTCATTGACACAGGCTTGTTCCTGCTCGAGAAGGCTTCGGCATAGAAGTGACGAAGTTCTAGGCTCCCGGAGGGGCGTCTGGAGATGTTTTTATGCACTGTGCGCACATACACAGCATTCAAGCCACCACAACCACAAGGTCTTGCTCGGTGAAAGCCTGATCAGACGTGTAAGAATTATTGTTGCGTGCTAGACGAGTTTCGATGGGAGCTTCTTTACATGGACCCGAAGGAGTACCAGAACCTGCGTCACGTCGGCCAGACAAAGTTTCTGCAGTTTCTTTCACGCATGGAACCAAGAATCGCTCGACAAAATCAACCAGCAAACGCACAAAACACAATGATGCACCATTATTGGTTTTGATTGAGTAAAGCTATACTCCCTAGGTCGTGCATCTCGCCCGGAAATGGCTATATGCACGACGCGTTGAGCTCGTGCCATTTGGGTTACACTTTTCGGACGGCGCTTGTATCACTGGGGATAGCGTTAACCCACCCCCCCGCCTGCGTTCACACTGCTTCGCAGTGACAGTCTGCGGCTGCTAATTACAAACCTATTAACCAACTTGGCCATCCATACATGCTGCTTCGCAGCGTCCAGCCGGCAACCCAAGCCCGCTGTCCCCCATTGCATTTTTGGAAAGATGTCCCATACCATTTAGTTCAGCAAAGTTTTCTCGACAACATTTTTTTTTTAGTTTTTTTTTTTTTACAGTGATAAATGTAAAAAAGATGTAAATATCACCAAATGTTCGTAAAAAAAATGTTTGAGAAAAAAAAAAAGCCCACGCTGCAGATTGAACCTGGGTCCACTGCGTATAAGGCAGACACCTTTCCACTTCACTACGCCACTGCTTCAGAAACTAGTTTTGACCATTTGTTTTACACGAGACCCCAACAAGTTTTGCATCGTGCGTATAGCCGTTTTTGGTCAAGATGCACGACATAGTGCGTATACATGGGTTGCATGTGAAGTCATTCAAAGAGCACTCCGATGGCCACCAGAGAAGAAGGCAAGAGGGAGCTCCCCTCTTATCAGGACCCTCTTTTGTACCTCCCGGATTTACAGAGGCGTCACTATTCTCCTCCCAGAAGATTATAGAAGATTAACCCATCACTCAAAATTCTTACAAAAGCAGCTTCCCTCTCCTCCTTTTACATGCTGGTCAAAAGTATGCGATGTGACGTCAGTGCAACCCATGTATAGCTTTACTAGGGATGCCGCCAACTTTTTCCGAACCAAAGTTTCGATGATCGAATCAAGGGGTTCGAAAGGTTCTAAAGATTTCGAATTTTCGAACTTTCCATATCGAGAAATTTGACGGAAGTCGAATTTTCGAATTTATTAAGC